CATTTTCAAGTTCTATTGAATTAGCATTACTTGATGTGACAAAGACAGCCACTGTCTAAAGAATTCTGCAACTCCCTCCCCTGGCCTGTCCCTCAGGGACAAGGCTTGCAGCCAGTCCCACATGGGTTAAGGCCCTGCCCACTATCTAAGAGGCAGGAGACTGTTCCCTATTACCTCTCTAGGTGTCTTTCTGTTGAAGGATTCTCCTCTTTCTACATGTTATCCTTCCCATTGCTAATGAAATTTGTAAAACCCCATAGTTATGTGTCGGTGAATACATGAGTGCACGGTCTGTATGCACACGCACACTTGCATACAAGAAGTCATAAGGAAATGCCGTGGAATTGTGTGCTTTCCCCAGTGAAAAGGAAGAGAACTCTGCTAGCTTGGGGGTGGGGGGGTGCCACCCCCCAAAAGTGAAGTGTTCTCTCCCCAAACTCTATGACAAAGGGTGCCAACCAGAGGCAACCTCACCATTTGCCATTAAGAGGCCGTAGAAACAGAAATACCGAGAAGCAGAAAGTCCCTTAAAGGAATCTAGTTACCAACTTTCAAAGGAAATCTAAATAGTTCAGGACAGAAGGAAAAAAAAAAAGGCAAGAAGCCTAGAGGCCCTCACGCAGGGTTTGGCAAAATCCATTTAAACCGATCTGAATCAGGGACAGTTTCAATGATCTGAAAACTGAAGCGGTTACTTGTACTAATGCAATAGGCTTTGCTCAATGAAGTACTGCTGCCCAACTCAGAAGCCTTCCCGACTCACAGGAATCACCAGAGCAAGGTTTCTCAGTGGTAATGGTAATTGTTTGCAAATGAATGAATCAAAGGCCTTGTTCCTTCCTCCAAGTGCGATCCTGGGCTAGCAACGTCAACATCACTTGGAAGCTTGTTATGCAAATTCTTGGGTGCTACCCCAGACCCAAGCAAAAAGATCCTTGTTAAAACGCAATGAGATCCTTGTGTGATTCTTGTACACATTAAAATTTGAGAAGTACCTGAAGTTTAACCTTCTGACTGTGTTCATTTGCTTAATAACAAATTGTTGTAAATAAAACAAGGGTTGCCTTCCTTTTGAGGTAGCATCTCTGGAATTTGTCCCACTGGGGAGCTTTCTGTTTTTCTTTGGACTATGGCTAATAATGCAAAATATGTTTTCATGTAAATCAGTGGTTCCAGGTGGTTCTTGGATGGGAGCCCTGTAGCAGGGTATAAAAAGCCAGCTATTTCTCTTATAAATTTCCAATGTAAGTATTCCCTGAGGCAAATAGCTTCAGATTAAGGGATGCAAATGATTTTAGGTAAAATAGATGAGTATCTATGCAACTATCACACAATTTCCATGTCCTGTATACATCAAAATAATGGGGGGGGGGAATGCTAAAATCAACTCTGTTTTCAAATGTTATACCCTGACATATAAAAAAAGGACTTTCACACCAAAATTGAGAAAAACAAATTAATCCACATACCTTTCATATTACTTAAAATTCTTGTACTGCCAAAAAAAGTCCTGCTATATAAAAAACACCCCCATTATCCCTTAATTGCTTTGTATCCTTCCAAGAGGTTATGTTACCACAGTGATTAGCTGATAAATCTCAGTCCATTTACTCCAACTGAGGAGTGAAAGAAAACACACAGTGGGAATAGTGAGTATTTTGAAATAAGACATTCTTCAGTGGAATTATTTGCAAGAAGGGGACATTCAGGTTCAAATATAAAGTCTTAAACTTGGTTTAGTCCTCCAAAGTATCAAAAGACAGCAATAATTCAGGAAAATGATTCTATTTATGGCATTCCAAAGCCAACTTCAGCACAAAATACATAGTTCTGTATTATATACGGACACAGGACACCAACCAGTTGGTGTTATTATACAGCAGTACATAAAACCAACCATACAAATTATCTTCACTGACTTTTTTACTCTTTGCCTTTACATTCAGTATTTATTTACCACCTGCATCCAAGCTGCTCATATATTTGCATCTGATTGACTATAATGGATTGTTATTAGTGGAGGGGAGCAAAATATACCACCCCCAAAATCCGCCTCTTTAGCATAGTGATTATTTGGGGCTGATTAGTTTGGAGTAGCTGCAGAGACAGGAGAAGCTCTGAAAACAGAAGTTACCCTTTTGTGAGAGAAATGAACATTTGCAATGGGAATCTCCATTGTAATGGTCTCTCTGTCTTTCTCTCTCTCGCTGTCTCTCCACAGGACAAGAAGGATGGCTAAATCTCTAGAAACTCTATCAGTGGAGAAGGCAGGACTTAAATCCGCACGATAAGCTTTTCCTTGCTTCCTGTGCCTTTCCTGGTCACCTCCCAAAACTGCCCTCCCACCCCAACATCTTCTTTTGTCTTTACCTGGGGATAGTATTTAAGGTGGTGGCTTGGGCTATTTCAAGAAATTAGTAGCCCTGGCTGGTGTAGCTCAGTGGATTGAGCATGGGCCTGGGAACCAAGCAACCATGGTTTGATTCCCAGTCAGGGCACATTTCCAGGTTGCAGGCCAGTTCTCTCCCTCTCTCCTTCCTTTCCCCTCTAAAGATAAATAAATAAAATCTTAAAAAAAAAAAAAAAGAAATTACTCAACCTTCCTGGGTCTCTCCCATGTGTACACAGGAGGTATACATTTTACTAAACTTGTTTGTTTTTCTCTTGTCAATCTGTCTTTGCAGGGGATCTTAGCCAAGAACCTAGAAGGATAGAGGGAGAATTATATTTTCCTCCCCTACATTAGTTAATCATGCCTCGATACTTTGCTTCATGCCTTTTGTAAAATATAATTCTTCACAAAGAAATTGCACACCAAAGAAAAAACCTGGCTAAATGCAAATGTCTAATTCAAAATACACACCCTCCTCCAATGCAGCTGAAACAGATGAAGAAAAAAACACTGCCAAGATAAGGAAATGGGGATGACTGTAATCGAACAGCAATAAAAATAAACAATTAAGGAGGAAATGCATGACCTTCAAACTCACCTAGACCTTTACTGCCTCCAGGCAACCGCGCTCTATCGCCTCAGCTTCCTCATTTTCCCACTCCCCTCCACAAGTAGTTCATACCTTCTCCTCTCCCGCCCAACCTTCATCCCTGACCTCTGTCCCGAACTTAAGATTCATATACCCTACTGCCTCCTCGACATCTCCAGCCAGAAGTCTGACATATCTCAACTTTGACATGGTCAGAACTAAACTCCTGATCTTCTCCTCCAGACCTGGTCTTTGCATGGTATTCCCCTTATCAGTTAACAACTCCATACTCCCATTTAATCAGACTCAAAGCTCTTATTCTGGCATCTGTCATTCAATGTACCAGCAACCAATTCTCCACTTCTGAATGTAGTCAGAATCCACCCCCTTCTCACAATTTCTACTACTACCACCTGGTTCAAATGGAAGATACCATCCTGTTTGGCCTGGTCACTCTAATAGTCTCCTAATTGCTCCCTGCTTCTATCCTTGATGCCCTATAGTACAGGTGGCAAACACAAGGCCCGTGGGCTGAATCCGGCCCTCCACCTTGTTTTATCCGGCCCAGTACCTTGTTTCTACCTAGCAGTAGCACCAAGCTCCTTGCCCCTACTACTTAAGGAGTAGTTACATTTATACAGTCCTAAAATTATATCCCAGCCCTCTGAAGGCAACCACGAGGTTTATGTGGCCCCTGGTGAAAATGAGTTTGACACCTCTGCCCTATAGTCCCTTCTCAACAAAATAGCCAGGGTGATCTCTCAACATAAGTGAGGTCACATCAGGCCTCTGCTCAAAACCCTGCATTACATCCCCACTTCACTCAGGGTTAAAGTCAACATTCTTATGAATGGTCTACAGGTCTTAGAAAATGCCACCATCTCTATCACTGTTCTGACCTCAGGGCCTACTTCTCTCCCCCTTGTTCACCCTACTCCAGCCTTGGGGACCTCCCTGCAATTTCTGGAGCACTCCAGGCACATCCCTGCCTTACAGCTTTTGCTGTTCCTTCTGCCTAGAACACTCTTCCTCCAGATAGCTGCCATGTCTAATTTTCTCACTTCCTTTAAATTTCTGCCCAATGTCATCTTCATAGTGAGGCTTTCCCTGACCGTGTTATTTAATCCTACAACCCACTCCCCACATTCACACCTTGCAGCATGCCTGACTCTTCTTTACCCCAATCTCCTTTCTTTTTTCCAGAGTCCTGATCATTTTCCAACCCACCTGTTCATTTAAGCATTGTGTTTTCTATTGTCTGTGCCCCCCGATTTGGATGTCAACTCAATGAAGTCAAGAATCTCTGTCTGTTTTGTTTTCTTATGTATCCCATAGCCTAGAACAGTGTCTAGCATGTAATAGGTGTTTAACAAATATTTGTTGACTAAATGAATGAAACTAAACCTCAGCCCTTATCAGATGTATCTGGCTAAGCCAAATAGCCAGGTACGAAGGTGCCTGGAAGTTCATTATACTGTTCTTTCCACTTTCATATGTTTAGAAATTCCCAAAATAAAAGGGTTTAAGTTTATGAAAACATATATACACAAAGGGGTTTCTGGGAGAGAAGTGTCATACTCCTATAGTTTTGGGAAAACAGCATAAGAAGAGGAGAATAAAAGACCCGCATCTTATTTCTATTTCTAAGCCACTTAATAACTGTTAAATATATTACAAATCATTCCATTTCTGGGTCTCCAGCTTCCTCATCTCTAAAACAGAGAGGCCAGACTGGAAAACCTCTACTTTATGTAATTAAAACAGCTCAAATATCCAATCAAAAATTATCTAGTCCCCTTTTTCCTAAGCGTGGACTTCACACAAAAGTTTCTACAGCAGAAATTCTGGCTGTCTGTTGCATGATTTCATGCTTTTCCCACTTCTAAATTTCCTGCATTTTCAGGACTACATTCGATGTTTGAGTTTTTAGTTAACATGAAACTGAGAGTGTGGCCTGTGGACCATCTGTGTGTCAGAACCCGTTAGCTGGCTGTGGTTTTAGGTTGGAGCAGCACTTACCATCTCCTTCTTATCTTCCTGGAAGTGCACATCCACAAACATTTTTCCAGCAACATAAGGGAGGGCGCTTTCGATGAAGTTTACACATTTGTCCCACTGAGGCAACAAAGTTGTGGTCCCCTGGATTACCTGCAGGAGATCATTGATCCAGGTTTAGTTTCACTTGGATCAAACCTATGGCAGAAACAAATTCAACAACCTGAAGAAAACAGTCCATGAAACACCGCACACTCTGACCCACACACGTGTCTGATCGTAAAGCCAAAGGTGTAATCAGACGAAAAGCATTCTGCTTGTCCCCAGTTATATTTAAAAGTAAATGAAAACCTTTTGACAGTAAAAAAATAATGTAGTTCTCCTTTCCTTCTACTTTCCCTCAATAAACAAAGGCCTTAAGCAATAGCACAGCTTTTCTGCAGTTTACAGGGATGTTAGGGGATGCTGTCCAAATGGCCAGCTAATGTTTAATGTCTACTGAGAATTGCAGTTACACCAAGGAAGGTCTGGAGTCCATTGCTGGTCAAAGTTCCTGCCCAGTGAGTGTCTCCTTGCTCTGGGTAGTACGCTCACAAAGCAGACCAGGAGCACACGGCCCGCCGTGAGCAACCCCGGGAGAGTATTTACATTGTGTTCCAAAGAACACACTGGTAACCAAGTAAAAACCAGATGTAAATGTTTCTCTCATCTGTCCCAATTAAATCATCATAAGAAAACATTTACAAACAAGTAAAGAGGTTCCCAAGCAGGACTTACAAGGCTCAAAAGTTTACTCTTGGGGATGAAAGCAGAGAAATAAATATTACACAGTTGCACTGGGAGGTTGGGAGTTCAGAGCACCCAAAATGCGAAGTGAAGGCCCGCAGTGAGGAAGGCAGGCCCTGAGCGTGGTGGCTGGAGGTGTCCCTTGAACAATGTTAGACCCAGGCTGCTGCAACAGGGTGAATGGGACTAACAGTCAAGTTCATCTATTCTTTCTCTACTCTCTGGTAACACAATCCCTCTCAGAGATAAGGAATGAATCTATTTTTTAAGCCTCTAGAGAAAGAGGCCCTATAACTTTCTTGTGCAAGTCAATATTCTATTTAGCACTTCACACTAAAAAAATGTCCCCTCATACCTAACCTCAAAATTCTCACATTCTACTTCTTACACCTCTCTCTCCAATTATCTTCACAGTGGAGGTGAAAAGCAACTGTGTACCACATTTTACATGAACCACAGGGAATGGATGTGTGTATGTGTATACATGTGCACAGGGGTGTGTGTGTGTATATACATATACATATATATGTAAAATCCACTTGCCATTGTAGCTTAACCCTTTGATATGACCTCAATACGTACAGTTGTTTTCTGCTGTTCTATATAGAACTCATGACTTTATATAGTGACTTTAAAAGGCCAAAATGTATTCAAAATAACTGTGTTACTACTTAAGAATAATGATCCACTAAGAATTTCTGTACTTACCAGTATCTGCAGTAACTAAAACATTTGTTAAATGAAATCATAGCTTAGAAAATTCATCACTCACCTAATTTCAAATTTAGAGAAGAATAAAATATTGTTTAAAGTCACTAAATTCTTAAAATGTTAATTTTTTTTAAAAGCCACAAAATCCTGAAGTCCTGTCGTGGTGGAAGAATTATTCAGACAAGAGCTTCTGAAACAAGGACAAGGGTTAAAACCTCCGTAAGATTAGGATAAGAGTGGGAGAGAAGCAAAAATCAAAGTGCCAACTGAGGGAGGGGGGAAGAAGAGTGTTTGAAGACAGTTGAAGGAGGTCCCCAAGGAGTCTAGAGTTAGGCCTCTCCCACTGGGCAGGGTTAGGATAGATTTGGAGATTGAAAAGATCAAGGTCAAGTTAAAGACAAAAATCTACCCCTCAAGTAAAGATGAAACTTTACCATCTAATATGTATAACATGCACGTATTGAATATTCAGAACACTAAAATGAAAGATAGTTAAAAATACATCACTAAGAAATATCAGAGCTGTAGTTACAGTGATCCAGTTAAAACGGTGGCAGAAAATGGGAAAAGGTTGATGAAAGCTGGGGAGTGAAAACGGTGTGATGGTCCCAAGTACTGCCCTACATGTCTTCATACAGCCCCATCGAAGCAGGGTGTGAGTGTACCTTACTATGGGTAGGGTTTACCTCAATAAAAAGAAATAAAGCAAAAAAAAAAAAAAAGTAGAAACTGGCCAGCAAAACTCCTTTGTCTAATCCTAAAAATGAGTTTGACTGGATTAGTTAACATTAGTTAACTTGAACTTGGGCAAGTCACTTAAGCTCACTGATTGCACCATTACTTGTCATTCAATGCCAATGACCCCTACCTCCACATACACAATTAACATATGGACTATTCCTACATGTAAAATCATCCAGTGAGATGACATTGCAATATTTTTAAAGCTTACCCTTGAGAATTCCAGCCACCTATACTGAAAGCGCCTGCTAAGGTTTGGAATTCTGGAATAAACCATCCTCCACACCAAATAGTTGGCAACAGTCCTGTTAACAGAGAGAGATGCACATTGATTATACTTAGATTGCTATCTGATGCTCTGCAGAGCACCATGGGAAAAGCTGTTGGCAAATCCATGGAGGGACCACTTGCTTATAAAAAACTGCATGACTTTCACTTGAAAAATGGCATAGGATGATGCAGTGCCAATAAGCTCACCCAAAAGTGGCCTGCTTTTCACCACCTACTAGAGAAAGATGAAATGAATATTCCATCTCCAGGCCTCACTGTGAACGTTGTGCTTTCCCTCTCAGGGCATGGCGTCCACGATTGCCCAGCCTTTCCTGTCCAGAAACTGGCCATACCCACACTTTCGAATTATTAGGTGACTTAATAAAAATGCAGATGAATTCTTATCTTTGGAAACAAACAGCAATATACTGGGGAATACCAATTACCTAGATTGGTTCCCCAGTTCTGTACTTACAAGATGTGAACTTGAACTTGGGCAAGTCACTTAAGCTCACTGATTGCACTATTACTTGTCATGTGGTGCAAATGACCCATACCTCCCAGGGTTATTATGAGGTTCATATAAATAAGAAAATGCTTGACAAAGAGTAAACTCCAGATTCCTATTGTTTTCACTCACTTCCAAACATAAACACCATATGCTCATGTAATACCCGTAATACATATTGTAAAAATCCATTACGCTTTGTTAAGTGTTGGCTTTTTCTATAAGAAAAAGATGCCTTGACCTCAGAAGGATGTGTAATCTGCGTTAATTTCTAACTCAACAGTGATGATGAATTTTTAATGACCCATCTCCTCCCAGCTGTGCCATTATCGCAGTGACTAATGACACACATTCCTGCAACAGCTCTTGAGTCGGCCAGCCGTGTGAGAGCAGCATGACGTGATGCTGGTAAGCGCCCCAGGAAGAACAACTCTCACATGTACTAGACCTCATGGGTGATCACTTCCTCAGTTATGTGTCTAACCATGAGTTTGTACATCTGCAACGAACATAATAGTGTGGGGCAACTGCAATTGAACTATTTCAGAGATTTTTGCAAAAGGGATACTCATTTGCTTGGCACTGAGTAAACTCATCCATTTCAGTTGAACCCAGTGGGTGTACTCCTAACAATAACATATTTTTCAACATATACATACAACATGTGTATATTCATTGCCATGTATGTAAAGTAATATTAGAAATATGTTGACAACTGCAGAAATAGAAATTTCAAAAGATAAAATGACATAAAGATATTTTCAAAAATCACTACTTCCTTGTTTAAGTATCAGTTAATTCTAGCAGAGGCATTATACACACAGGGTATCACAGCAATGACAGCGGGCGCAAATCAACATTTCATAGAGTTTCCTTTGCCACTTGAAAACATTTTGAACCATATTTTCATCAGATCTAGCTGGACCACTACTGTCTGTACCTACTACTGTCTGTACCTCGTCATCGGTCTAACCAAGATGGCACACTAGCCCGGGAAAAGGGCCACTTCTGGCAATTTCTTGCCATCCACTTGTGCTTACTTTACTAGCAGCAAGCTTCCATTCGTGTTTCTGTGCAATAATTTTAAAGCCGTTTGTCCATTCTTTAAAGATTAAAGTAGATAGTAAAATTCATATCTCTGTAAGTGAACAGTTCAAGATTATTTTCAACACAGCTAATGAAAACAAACTGCTGAGAGGGTGGCACTGTCCCTCTCGCCCCCACGCTCATGCGTCCCAACCAATGCAGGGCCTATAGCCATCCACAGAGAGCTCTATAAAACCTAATATTTTCTCAATGAAAATGAAGACACAGAAATGTTAAGATTTTCTTCTTGAATTTGGTAGGTATTGCTGGGATATGTACACTTGCCCACAGAGACCACTGTTCTCATCAGTCAAATCTAGCCCTGAACCATTCTGGGTTGACGCTACTGTGATAAACGTGTAGTTTTACGTCATTCCCTTGGATCCTTTGAGTTCACGTCGCCTGAGCACTGCTCACTGAGCATTTACTGTTGCCCACGTATTGTTCCAGGTGCCATGAGGAATGTAAAGAAAAAGGTACTGGGGCCTTACATTCATAGAGCTGAGAATCTGGTTAGGGGACACAGGACATCAGATTTCAGCCTATTCAGAGAACCAGGTTTCTGAATTGAAGGCACACACAGTAAATACATATGAGACCCTCCTTTCACTTGATCAGCACACCCAGAGCACCTAGGTACTTACTAATAGTTCTGGATACTGGGGAGATGAAATGGTGAGGAAGATATAGTCCCTGATCTCCTGAAGCTTGTGGCTGAGCAGGGAAAATGAGGCAAGTGCATCAATAACGATTTGCCAGACCCTAAAGTGCATGCCAGGTACTTCAGCAGAAGGAGCACACAGCTCAAACTGAGGGATGAGAGAATGTTATGAGAGGGACATGAGCTATGGCCAAAGGGTGAGAGGCTTGGGGGTGTGAAGCAAGAACACGAACTGTAGACAAGCTAAGTAATGATGGACAGTTTATGTGCTGGCGGGGATTGTGAGCAAGGTCATCACTCTCAGAGCCAAAAGGCCATTAGTGTAGAGAATGTCAGTGGGACAGAGGCTGGCCCTAACACAAAATGTGTGTGTTCTTCAAACTTAAAATCCAGCTTGCTGGGTGTGAGAGCTATGCTGGATCCATAGGTGTGGATTAGAAGGTCCATGGCCAGCAGATGTATTACATGCATTCAAAAGATATTCCCTCAAGGGGGCAGTGATGAGCCAGATTAAATGGGAACATTCTTAGGATGGGGCCTGATGGTGGTAGAAGAGGCATGGTGGTGGAAGCTTACTGGGGTTTTAAAAGTGTAAGACTTTCCAACTCCCTTGAAATCATATCATGTTGGCATTAGCTAGAAGCCCCCACAGCCCCGCTGTAGGAGAGATGTTATTGTACCCATTTTAAAACCAAAGAAACTTGAGGCCTAGAACCACTAAGTAACTCCCCATGATTATATAGTCAGTGGGTCTCCAACTTAGTAAAATCACCTTGGGAGTTTTAAAAGTCCCCGTGTTCAGGTCCCTCCACACCAATTACATGAAAATCTCTATGGTGTAAACCCAGCATAAATAGTGTTTTTCCAATCCCTCCAGCTAATCCCAGTGATCAGCCAAGCTGGAGAACCAGTGTAATAGGCAGTGGAAGCTCAACCAGACCCAGGCGTGTCTAACTCTAAGCCTGTGTGCTGTTCCCAATTCTACACAGTGATGCATGAATCCCTGTAATTCAGCACACATTTCTGGACCAATCACAGAGACCCCAAAATACTGTGACAAAGGCACTTAGTGGAAATCTTTAGGTACAAAGAAAGAAAAGCGTGTGAGGACTTCATGGGCAAGGCATTACTAAGATGTCAGCATTACAAAACCTTGGAGAGCTGGGAGATGGACTGTGGGGAGACGCGCGTAGTCAGACAATGGCCCTATAGAGCTGCTCCACTGTGTGATACATGCCCAGACGGAATGCGGGGAGCACACAGCCAGAGAGCGCGCTAATATTACCACACCGGGAGCAGATCTGACCATAATGACTGAATCGCTGCTACCTAATGATCAGACACACACACACAAAAAAACAACTCACATTGCAGCAACAGTCCTTGAAAATAACACATTCTATCTTTTTTTTCCAAAAAGCATTTTCAGCAGTATGATAATTTTCCCACATAACAATAAATGAAGCAGAGGAAAGCAAAGCATCAGAAGAGAACTCGCTACTATGAGAGCAACATGAAATCATTTCCAAAAGCCTGTGACTGGGAAGCTTGTTTTTAAAGAAGCTTTCGCTGCCCTTTGTTCTCAGTTAGTGGCAGCTTACACTTGCATTGCATTTTGAGGATCATGCAGTATCTTTTATGATCCTCATGGCAATGCTATGGGTAGTTATTATCATCTCCATTTTCAGATGAAGAAACAAAGGTTAGAGGTCAAAGGATGTCCAAGGATGTGTCAAATCCGGAACTAACGTTTGAGTCTTCAGATCCCAGAGCTTGCATTTGCTTCTCTGGGTCATACTACTTCGGGTGAGCCAAACAACTTCTTCTCAAAACCCCTCAAAGCCAAAGAAATATTCCTAAATCCTAAAGGCTGTCCAGAGCTATGCCTAGGACTGGTTCCCAAATTGTGTCTCCAGACCAGCAACTTCAACATCACCTGAGAACTTGTTAGAAAATTCCTGGGCCTCACCCCAAACCTGCTGAATCAGAAATTGTGGAGGTGGGGCTCAGCGGTCTTTTTGTAACGGGCCCTCCATGGGATTCTGATGCTTGTCAGGTTTGAGAACCTCTGTTCTAGGAAAACTCCATCTCCTCATCCTTCTGCACACACATAAGCTAGGACTTTCTAAACCCCAAATCAGTGCTTCTTATACTTGAATGTGTATAAATCCCATGGGGGGAGGGGCTCTTTAAGTTATAGATTCTGATTCAGTGAGTGTAAGGCAGAGCCTGAGGTTCTTCTCCTAACAGGCTCTCAAGCAGGGGCTACACTGCTCTCCATGGACCATGCAGTGAATAGCCAGGCCCTCCATCACCCTCAGGATCGCTGAGCCCTGTAAGAGGTCCACACAACAGCACACGTTCCAGGTAAGCCTCTAGAAACATCTGTCTAGCAGAGTCATCTCGCTTTAATGTACACTGTGCTTCCTTTATATGAAAATGAAACTGAAGACAAAAGGGATCACAGAGGCTTGGCAAAATCTCCAAGGTGTTGTTTTAGGCCAGCCTGCTAAACACACACACCCACAATTCTGACCCAGATGACCTCCAACAGGCTAGGCCAGGCCTTGCCAGGAAGAAAATCTCTTTGACTCCATCTTTCCTCAGCCTCTCACCTCCCATTCTTGCTCCTCAGACCAAATTAGGTGGTATTCTGTTGGCCAAAAGTTCATTTGGTTTTTTCCATAATGTGGTTATAGTAGTGCTTAGTTGTCATTAACTTCATTGGAAACAATTTTGTTAGACTGTATAGTGACGGCTGTCATATTAGCGTGCACTTAAAAAATTATCAAAATTGGTGAACTTTTGTGAAGCCATTTTAATGGTGAAAGTGGAAGAAAATAAGTAAGATTTTTGGCATATTATGCTTTATTATTTCAAGAAAAGTAAAAATACAACTGAAATGCACAAAAGATTTGTACAGTGTATGGAGAAGGTGCTGTAACTGACTAAACGTGTCAAGAGCAGTTTGAGAAGTTTTGTGCTAGAGATTTGTCACTGGACGATGCTCTATGGTTGGGTAGACCAGTTGAAGTTGATAGCAATCAAACCAAGACATTAATTGAGAACAATCAACGTTATACCATGTGAGAGATAGCTGACATACTCAAAATATACAAGTTAATCAAGTTTTGGTGAAAATGAAAAAAAACGTGTCTTTTCATGGATGGGAAAAACTAAACAGACTTTTTGGCCAACTCAATATTTCATAAGCTTCTATGGAGGAAGGGCCTTGGAATCTGTATTTTACCACAGGCAGCCAGTCCGTGAAGTGCAGTTTGATTAGCAAGGCTCTACTCCACACAAACACTATCTACCTCTAGATTCAATTTTCACGTACAGAATTTTAAAGAATCACTGCTTATGTTTGGTAGTATTTTAAGTGAATGTATTGTTTCTTCTCTCCCTTCTCTGTATGTACGTTGCTCTGTAAGCTTTCCTTGATGCACACATATTGTTTTCATAAGAAGATACCATATTAAAAAGAATAGCAGCTCTTCAGAGGTGTCTGCGTCTCTGTAGGTGGGTAGGATGGTAAATTTTATTCCTAGGACTTCCATAGGCACCTTTCTTTAAAACATCACTCCTAGCAACATAGCCTCGGCCAAGTCAGAATAAGAAATATGGTGTTTAAGCCCTGGCTGGTATAGCTCAGTGGATTGAGTGCGGGCCTGCGAACCAGACAATTGCGGTTCGATTCCCAGCCAGGGCACATACCGGGGTTGCAGGCCGGTTCCCTGCAGGCCAGTTCCCAGCAGGGGGCGCATGAAAGGCAACCATACATTGATGTTTCTCTCCCTCTCTCCTTCCTTTCCCCTCTAAAGATAAATAAATAAAATCTTAAAATAAAAAAAAAGAAAGAAATATGGTGTTTAATCATGGCCTGGTAATCAGCCTTTGTCTTTGTAAGCTGGCTGACCTTTCTGTGCTTCATTCCCTGTGGTTCAACCTAAAGGGCTTCATGAAGATGTAAAATTCTCTTTCCTGATCATTTTTAGGATTTCCTTGTTTTGCTGTGCCAAAGTAGCACAGCAACAAATCCTAAAACATTCTTTCAAATAAAAAAAATTTTTTAAAAACCTATCTGTTCCTGAAGTTGTTTCACTGGTGCAATTTCTCTACAGCTCTCAGAGCAATCTTATGTCCTTCCAATATAGGTTCTTTGCTTTATTGCCACAAAGTGACTTATTGACTAAAAAGAAACCAGGAAAAAGAGCAGCAAAAGACCTAGAAAAAAACTAGGGGGGTAAAGGATGTCTATATAGAAGTCTCAGAAAACAACACTCTTATATAACTACTCCCCAAAACTAACAACTTAAGTTTTCAGAGGGAAAATATGGAGAAAGACCAGAAATAAGGGCAAAAACATTACGCATGTGCTGTTATTGCAGTAAGCAAATGATACCAGACAATGGTTTCGGCCTATTTGTCACAAAGGGCACCATGATTTTCCCTGCTGCTCTTTTGATGTAACTTACATGAAAAATAGTTTCCAAAAGATATGAGAGGGGAGGCCTTATAATTTCAAAGGAAAAACAAAAGTCACAGCAAAATATGTAGGGAAGCTCTTACTTCTTCCTCTCAGAGCCTAATATCCTAAACAGGTCCTTAAAGTACTGCGGGACGCGGACAACCACATTCTCTGAGGGGCTGATGTCTTTGAGGTCAGGGTAGAGTCTGACATCGATGACCTTCTTGATGTAGCCGAGCCAGTCAAACTGCAGAGAACAAGAAAAAAAGCAGAGTGAAAGATCCTCTTGCTACGTGGCAAGCAAGGCAGATAAGTATACAGTCAGTTAAATATAATCCATTGCTTGTGATTTCAAACCAAATCATTAAAGATGCAACTGCTCAAACCTATACAGTAAATGCCTGATTGCTGCCGCCCAGACCTACTGCTGACCTCATAAATGGAACATGTGTTCTGTACCATCTGCATATGGACACTCCCCTGGTAATATGCACACTCACTCTGCTGGCCCCTCCAGCACTCTCTCACCCTCCTCCCTCAACTCTCCTCTCCTTCATTCTCTCTTCCCTCCATTCCATGCTCTCCCTCTCTCCCCTCATTCTCCCCTGCATTCTCCCTCCTATCCCGGCTGCACTCTCCCTGATTCCCATGTTCAGTCACTGCCTAGTTCATACAGACACAGATGACTGAGGACATTACTGGTTTTCTCTCTGGCACAGCCTTTCTTACCCAGGGGAAATAAGCCACAACGACAAAATAATAATAATATGTCCCCTCTTCAGAGCATCATTATCTCCTCTTTTTCATTGACTCCCCCTAAAGTCATTTCCAACCCCCTTTTTTTCTCCCTTGCCTGCCTCCACTATTGGAATGGAAAACAGGTTACTCACTGGCCCAGTCTTCCCTGTAGGCAGGGGTGGCCATGTGCCCCTATTCTATTCAATAAGATATAAAAGGAAGACATCTGGGGATATTCTAGAAAGGCCATCACTGTCCCTCCCCATTCTCTCTGCCCTACTGGCAGGTGAAATATACGGCCCTGTGGTAGGCACACTGCAAGCCTGAGTCTTCGAACATGAAGTCAAACAGCCAACACACTAAAAAGAGTAGAGCAGAAACAAACAACTTGGGTCATTGACAACATTGTTAAACAGTTAAAGCAACACCAATCTCCACCTACGTGTGGACTTTGGTCATATAACAAAATGGGCTGTAAGTTTTTAAGCCATCTTGGAAGGTTTTCTGTCCCTTATAGCAGAAAGCATCATGACACAGACAACAGATATTTTATGTGATAATGGACAAAAATGATGATAATTGAGAGGATGGATAGTAGGGTTTATGAGGCAGGAATTTACACACAGATGAAATACAATCACTTGTGAAAAAAAAAAAAAAAGGAACAATCCAGGGATTGTTTTCACCAACCTGGGGAATCATAGCACTCAGTTGGGAAATGTTCATTTTGTTGTACATCGCTTCACTGGTTCGGTTTTCATGTGGAATCATTATCTGTGGGAAGGAGACTTTGGTTACTTTTTCAAAGGAACCATTTCTTACTGCATGACACTTTCTATACCACATGTGCCCAAACATCTGCATGGTATCATACAGTTTTTCAAGAGTTTGGTGTGGTGCTGAACTTGGGAGAGGAAAAAAAGGACATCAGTTTAGGCAAAGTTAAGATTAAGAAAATAAAGAGACTCCTCTGTCCTGTTCAGTGTGAAACATTGTCCTCAGCACAAAAATAACTACCCAGAATCCCTTCCTCATTTACACTGTGGATGGATAACATCTATTGTTTGGCCTAGTTTGGGCAGCCAAACTGAGGTTAGTCAATTGAGACACACCTCCCATCTTCACCTGTGGTGTCCAGATAATGACCTCAGTCTTTCATGAACCACAGCCAATCCTTCATCCCGGGGCCACGTTTTCACTGAAGAACACTAGCCTATCTGGGCACCATTGCCACCTGTGATCATTCTGTCAACAGCACATTCTTTTACTTCCCATCTTCCCTCTGCTTTTTCTGGCCTTGAGAGTCCCCTGCCCCACTGCTGGGGGTATGGGTTCAGTCACCATCCAGACACACAGTTCCAAGTCTGCATCTCCAGCCCTGACTCTCCATACTCTTTCCATTCCCAATATGCCTGCCCTTGGGCCCTCTTGCCAACACCGAAACAAACAGAAGCTTCTAGCCCCTGTCACGTTGAATCTAATGTAGGAAGGGCGGCAATGATCATCTTTCTCATGGGCCATCTTAAGCAGGTCCATAGACAGGCTTTATTAGCTCCCCATACCCAGCCCTGAATCACATCATCTGATTCTCTTGCATTAAACTTGCCACCTACCACTTCCCACCGGACTCTCCTACCCTTGCATCCTCATCCACCATCACCACACCCAGGGTTTGAACAATCACTAAAGACAAGGTTCATTTCCTCTGTCAAGCCTTTTTATTAAACTCCACTTGGCTCTGATCACAAGGGCCCCTCCATCAATAAGACCTCCCCTGGTGCACACATCTCTCTAGATGGGACTGGTTAAACGCTTCCATGGCTGGATCTACAGTGACTTAATTTGTGCTCAGCTAGGCTGTCCTGCCTCCCCGAGGAAGCTGTAGAAGTTTCCGTAGGACTATGTGCAATTTTGAACGGCCCCAGTGACCTGGGGTGTAACAGAGGTGAGTGTTACTAACAGGCCAAAAATTCATGTACCGTGGATTTTCAAGGCAAACGCATAGAAGGCGGAGTGGCAGACATCTGCCCACTCTTTCTCTAAATGCTTCAGTGCCCTTAGCTTCTCCCTCCTTCCTCACCCTCCACGGGAGAGAATTCCTGCATCTTACAAACATCTTCCTGGCTTTTGTTTGAATCGTTGCCTCAGAGACTGTCCACACCTCCCTCTACTCAGGCTCGCAGCCCCAGGTTGGAGCCCTTTGGCCTCGAAGCTGTTTTCAGCTCTCTGCCAGCTGCTTCCCCCCACCCCGTGGATTTGTCACTTCATTTAGCCTCTTGACAATTCCCAGTCTTGCCTCAGCCCAGCTGTTTTTAGTTCCCTTTTTGGTCTAAATCCCGGGCTCGGGGCAAGGCCTTCCCCAATGCATCAGAGTTTCGGTCTGAATTAGAGCTCTGGGTCTCCTTTGTGCCTGTGAAGGGTACCCCAACAGCCTCCAGACATGGCTTAAGAGGCACAGACTTTGACTCCAGAACATCTGCAGTGGTCTTCACAGTCTTCAAAGGTGACATGCAGGAATGCACTTTTTATGCTGCAAGTAACACTTTGGAGAGAGGTACGCGCATACATCACTACCACTGAGGGAGAGACTAATTCCTCCTCATCCCTATCTGTCACTCCAACCCCACATGGCAACACCCCACCACCACGTCACCAAACACAAAACCAGGCAACACTGGGACTTTTGGGCACCTTAGGATTTTTACCAACTTCTTAGAGAAGGCTGCCAACCCATATACAAGTGTTTCTTGACAGAAGTTCTTTTTCCTTTCACCACAAGGTATTTCAACAAGCAGATTTCACTATATTTGTTCCCTCTGGACCTGGGAATGTATAGGGATTTTATACTTTGGTTCTTCTAGGGAAAAAAAAAAGTTATTCTATAAACAAAGCAAACCATTTAGGATCTGTCATTCTCCCTCAACTTTGTTCTTATTTCTTTTTGTCTCCACCACTTCTCCTGAAAGAACTTAAGGTGACTTAACACAGAACATAGTATAAGACAAAATGACATGCATTGAAGTGGGGGGGGGGGTAAATAAATAAATAAATAACAGGGCTAGGTACAAAGTAGCACCAGAAAGGCAGGTAAAAATGCTCACCAGCATGCCCCCTATACTGTATATACATCTAACTGCATATACAGTATGGGTGGACAGACTTCCCAAAGTCTGTATCTTAGGTCAGACTGACCCTGAGTGGGAATGGGGAGCAGGGGTGTCCAACCTGCGGCCCCCGGGCCACATGCGGCCCAGGATAGCTATAAATGTGGCTCAACATGAAATCATAAATTTACTTAAAAAAATTTTTTTTTTGCCCTGGCTGGTGTAGCTCAGTGGATTGAGCGCAGGCCTGCAAACCAAACAACCACTGTTCGATTCCCAGTCAGGGCATATGCCTAGGTTGCAGGCCAGTTCCTGGCAGGGGACACACGAGAGGCAACCATACACTGATATTTCTTTCCCTCTCTCTTTCTCTTCCCCAGTAAAGATAAGTAAATAAAATATTTTTTTTAAAAACTTTTTTTTTTTTTTGCTCATCACTTTTCATTAGTGTTTGTGTATTGAATGTGTGGCCCAAGACAACTCTTCTTCCAGTGTGGCCCAGAGACACCAAAAGGTTGGACACCCCTGGAAAGAGTAGATTAGATTCAAAATTACCTTCCACTCAAACCAAATCAATAAGGATTCATTAAATATAAGGAGGGGACCCAAGAAAACTGAAATTTATTCATTCAAAATTGTATATTTCTTCGTACATGTTTAAACTTCCATCACCTCCAAAGTCCTCTCCATCTGATGCAATACACCTATTGAGACATATTTTCCACTACTCAGAACAGTTTTGGAACTAGTCCATTTTGATGCCTTTTAGTGTTTCTGCCATTTTTTGTTTCACCTCTTCCACACTGGCAAAATGTTTCTTTTTGAGTACTTTTTTCATCCAGGGAAACAAAAAGAAGCCTCTTTAGGAGAAAATGGGTTAATAGGGAGGGTAAAGAAGAGGGGTCATACCATTTTTAGTCAAAAACTGCTGAACACTCAGTGCAGTGTGGGCAGGTGTGCTCGTAAATCACCCACAAAATGGGCAAATGCATTGAAAGGGTCTTCAAAAAAAAACATTCACTGGAGCCGAATACAGCCTCTCACAACAACACCAGCTGGCACACTGGTTCAGATGGGTTCCTAGAACACTCACCTAGAACATTCAGATGGGCCCCTGTACTACAAGGGGCCCCCCTCCAGGAGACAATTTTGGGTTTTTATGGAGGGCCCCCACTTCGTATCTATTCTTCTATTGGAGCCACATAGCAGTTTCTCTTGGAAAACTTAGTCAGAGGGTCTTTGGCTGTAGCTGAGCAGTATAAGGACATTGAACGGGCTTCCAGCAAGGCAGCCAAAGAAATAAAGAGCTCTTCTTTCTGTCATGGTTCTTCTTCCTGTTACTTCCCTGAGTTCTACATTGGACCCAAAGGACAATGTCACAGAATGCCATTTTATATATATATTTTTTTCATTCAGGATATACTGCCTTTAAAATAAGAAAAAGAGAAAAATAGGTTTAAATTATCTTACCTCGGCTATCTTAATTTCTAATCTAAGCACCGACTTCATGTCATGCTCTGCTCGGGAGCTATTAGCTCCCAAAAGTACGGCAGTATCCACCATGAACTTGTAAAGGGCATCCCGATACTGTAAGAGATAAAGAAGCAAGTGACCATGACAACAATCTATTAGGAAGTATGTTTCAAGGACAGAGGGGAGCAGAAGCAGCAGGTGGAAATACATGCCCTTTATCCTCACCTGTACTCAACATATGGTACAGGCAAGATGCAATACCAACCACCCACGTACCACTTTGGGAGAAAGAGGAGTGATAGCTACTTGGATCCTGTTTCCATGACAGACAGAGATGTCCGGCCACCAAGAATCAAGAGAACTAGTTTTGTGGCAACCAACAATATTATGAATATGTGAAACATCTCCACACGAGCTCAGAATAGAAAGTTAAAGGTCAGGCTCCTCTTCCCAGGCAAGAGAGGCTTTAGTAAAATAATTGGAAAGAGCTGTTGCTAAAAGCAGGCAGCATGACTAAAAAATAAAAGACCAGCAACTGAGACCTTATGTCTTTTCAGTTTTGTGTGGTTTTTACAAAGTTCTCCTTACCACCTCAGGGAACAAAGAAGGGAGAGATGAGAGAATGATGATGTGAAACTGAGCAAATAGCAAATATAGAATTTCCTCCTTGCATGTTCATAAACCCATTTTCATGATATTCATATGTCATTGGAGGGGAGAGCCTTATTTTGTGGGAAGTGAGGAATCTCATTGGCAGTCACCTCTCCTTTCAGATACACTTGTAAGAACTCAATATACCAGGTATTAAATAACCCCAGCTATAGGAATAGGATTTCCTGACACATACCTTGATTCTGTAGGCTGTTCTGACTGTGTTAATGACCTTGGGACATATACTGTGTTTGGCATATAGCTGGCCCTTAAAAAATACTTGTTGAATCAGTGAGCGAACTTTGCAAATACACTTAATTAGAAACAATGCTTTGCAATTTCCAGCTAGATTTAAGGAATATTTAATAAATCAATACATGCGCAAGATGTCTTGCTAGGCATTATGTGCATTTGGGAGATGGGGTACAGATGGAAAATTAAATAATGCTTAAGTCTGATTTCTCAGTGTGTGATCTGGTTCTCAGTGAGTGAGGGAGATAAACATGTAATTACTAACTGTAACATTAGAGATACCAAAATAATTTCCTTAATAAAGCTGCTAAGTGCTTGAAAACTCAAGAGCTGGAGAAGAATTACAACCTGAAGAAATTAGAAACACAGTGTTTGAAGAAGACATATTCAGGAGCAGTGAGGAGACCTCCTATGAGGGGTATGAGCTGCCTTTGTTAGGGGAAGAATAAATACACGCCATAGCAAAGGTGGTTTGGGAGCAGGTCACAAAGAGGCCCTGAACTCCCTCTAAGGTGTTTAGATACTAGCTTGTGAGCAAAAGCATGATGGGAGCTGCACTTTGAGGAGAGATTTTATCAAGTGGTACTATGGAGGCGATAAAGGGGATATAGGAAAGGAGGTAACAATTAGAAGGCTATCTGTGGTAATAGAGCCAAGAATAACCATGGACCTGACCAAGAGCTATAAAAATAGAGAGGGGAGACTAAGTGGAAGAGCGATTTTGAAGATAGAATCCACAGGACTTGACTGGTTGGTTATAAAGGGAGACGATTTCCAGCCTGGTTGCTGATAGGGTGGCGACCCCAGCAGAAACAGAGGTACCCCCAGATTGACAAAAGTTCATTCCATCCACTTTCAAGAAGAAATACCTGCCAACCTTCTCTGATGACTGCCCTTGGCCAAGGTTGCCTTCCTGCCCTCCAGAGCCTTCTGGGCTTTAGTATCAGCAAAGGAACAGAGACTTACATTGTGAGCCAGCACTTCCCAATCTGTGTCTGCATTCTCAGCCTGAGCCAGAAACCAGAGAGCTCTCAGGTCAAGGGGACCCTGGGTCTGAGGCTCCTTCGGGAGTTCAACGAAGTTTCCAAAATGAGTTCCAGGTGTCAGAAATGAACCAGGTGAAAACTAACAGAAATCTAGGTTTCCAAGTCAACCCAAGAACTCTAACGTAACTGACCCCATCTGGTTCTCATTAGTCTGGATCATCTGTTAAGAAAACAGATTCCTGGGTCCCACGTGAGGTTTACTAAAGCAGACTCTCCGGGGCTGTGAGCCAAGAACCAGACGTTTAACAGAAGCTTCCCAGGTGATTCTGAAGCAGTGCGATTTGAGAATCATTGGGTGACTGGGTATCCCTCCTCAAACATTACTTCTGTGATGTGCAGTGAGCTCTCTGCACTTCTGAGGGATGGCTGCAAGCTCATTTCTTGGTTACTTCATCATTCGGGAATGCTCTCTCCCCAGCTCAATCTTGAGGGCACTGAGCACGGGCACTCGTACACCCCTGATGCCCAGACTTCCAGAAAACAGGGAGCGCCATTTACCTAGGTAACAGACCTTTGCTCCCTGTACTGGGAATATGGTCATCAAATAGCCACACTGCTCATTTTCAGTAAAGAGGCAGGACTGCATGAACAACTTATGAACCCAACAACAGCCTGACAAGGTGCAGAGTTGAATGTGTGTAAAACTTACAGACTTGGCTTCTGTGCTGTTATCAAGGTAGTCTTCCCTCACAGCTAGGGAGAGCGTTGCTTGGTCCAGCTGTGGAAATAAAAACAAAGTATTTTGCTTATGCTGTCCATTCTTATGTACTCTGTTAACGAGAGTCATGAGATCTGCAACCCAGTCATATTGTGAGCTTGTGTTACCATTATAAAAACAATTCATTGATACATATTATCAAGTATCAGCAATGATAGATATTATCAAGTATCAGGGACCTGTGTCTGCTTCCCCAATTCACAGTTTCTAACCCTTCCAAGGTTCTGTCAGTGCTAAATAGCATCAAAGCTTTTGGAGTTGGAATAGGCCTTAGAGATTACCTGGTTTTCCCCCTTATTTGATGGGTGGAGAAACAAAAGCCAAAGGAGTGATGCGACTTCTGAGGGAATAGGGCTGGGCAGAGCTCAGAGGAGAATCGCTGTCTCCTGTGGCCAGATCCACTACTCCTCTCCCTGCAGTATTTTGCAAAATGCCAATCTGGTTGGAACTAATTAATGACATTGTCCACTGCCCCACCCCCAAAATACTGTGTTGCACTGATTTATTTTATCTGAAAGAAATCAAATGATAATATTGAGAAATCTTAGTGAATTTTAGAACCCTCTCTGGAAAGCATAGGATAGGTGATAAAAATACAAATAATAGACAACAAAAATAACTAGGATTTGTATGGGAAAGTATTGCATCGTTTTGTGAATTAAAACTTTCAGCACTTTAAAGGCAGTCAAAAGGAAGAAGATAGTTGTTTTCAAGGAATGTGCTAGAACCGAACAGGACATCCATCTATGAAAAAAATGAACCTCTACCCATACTCACACCTTCTACAAAAGTTGATTCTAAATGAATCACAGACCTAAATGTAAAACCTAAAAACTATAAAATTTCTAGAATAAAACATAAGGGAAATCTTGTGACCTGAGGTTAGATAAAGAATTCTTAAACATGACACCACAATCATAATCCATAAAAGAAAAAATAAATGAGCTATCATCATTAAAAACTTTTGCTCTGAGAAAGAAAATGAAAAAACAAGCTATGGACAGAGAGAGAGTATTTGAAAACTGACATCAGGATGAGGCAAAAGTAGCTTTACAGTTGTTTATATGGAAAATAATACAATAATCAATAAATAATACTACAAGAATAAACTCTGCTTTGCATACTTACAACTATAAACCTATTGTACTTTTGCCCCATCCTGTATATGGCAAAAGATTTATATCCAGAATATATAAAGACCCCTCTCAAAACTCAACAAGAAAACAACCCAATTTAAAAGTGGGCAAAAGATCTGAACAGGCACTTCACCTATGAATATATACAGAAAATAAGCACATGAACAGATGGTCAACATCACTAGTCATTAGGAATACATAAATTTAATCAACAATAAACACAACTACCCATCTATTAGACTAGCAAAAAAAAAGATAACACCAAGTGTTAGTGAGGATTCAGAAAAACTGGATCAATCAGACATTGTTGGTGGAAATGCAAAATAGCAAAGCCCCCTTAGAAACCAATTGACAGTTTCTTATAAAGTTAAACATATACCTACAAATGACTCAGTAATCCCCCTCCTAGGTATTTACCCAAGAGAAAGGAAAACTTACACCCACACAAAAACCTGCATGTAACTTTATTCATAATCACCAAAAACTGGATATAACCCAATAGTTCTCCAACTGGGGAATAGATAAACAAACTGTGATACACAACGGAATACTACTTGGCCATAAAAGGGAATATACCTCTCATACATGCCGTAACTGGAGAATTCTTATGACATTCCAGAAAAGACAAAACCACAGGGACAGCACATAGGGACTGGGGACGGGAAATTGGCTGAGTACAAAGGGCAACACAAGGCAATTTCAGGGGATGATGGAACTCTTCTGTTTCTTTATTATGGTGATGGCTGTGCATTTGTTCACAACTTATAGACACATGCACCACAAAAACTGAATTTAACTGCATGTATGTTTAAAAATGAAAAATTTAAAAAATCTTTCTCTAAATCTATCTTTTTTTTCTTGGATATCAACAACTGTTTAAAGGCTCAAAAAAGTGGATCACAACAGTAGATTTTCTAATTTAAATCTGATTCACACATTAAAAAGTTAAGTCATTGTGGCAATATATAAAATCTAAATATCAAATCAAAATTTAGTAGCATGTTAATAAAAAATTTAATTACATTCCCATATCATTAGTTTATACAGTGTTATATTGCTTGGATCTATCTCTACTTTCTTATTCGTCTTAATATAATATCAAATATTTTCTTTCTTAATACATACAATCTGTATAGGATCATAGTTTTCCATGAAAATCCCCTTCATACACAACAAATTATACAAAGGCTAAGTTAAGAGTTAGCAATGTGCCCTGGCTCAGTGGACTGGGCACTGGACTATGAACCAAAGGGTCACTGGTTCAATTCCCAGTCAGGACACATGCCTGGGTTGTGGGCCAGGTCCCCAGCATGGGGCATGAGGGGGGCAACCACACACTGATGTTTCTCTTCCTTTCTTTCTCCCTCCCTTCCCCTCTCTCTAGAAATAAATAAATAAAATCTTTGAAAAAAAGTTAGCAATGTTATGAAAATTTCAAGGAAAAATATTGTTTTTGTTTCCAGAGCAAAAAAGATGTTTTCATAACATCCATTTTGTCCATGGGTTCCTAAAATCCTCAAATTATTGTGTTCAATCTTCTTCTCTAATTGACCCCAAATCCCAAGTCACAAACCAGCCTGGCTTCATCATAACGCAATTCCCAATGTACCACCATTTCTTCCAAAAATTAAGTAAGGCAGGACCACAAAATGCAATATTATGATTAAGATGCTTTGGCTTTCAATTAGATTTGGACCCACTTGGAGAACCTTTTGATCTTCAGTCTCACAGGAAAGGAAACTGTGTAGACAATATTAGGAAAGCCAAAGCTTCCCTCTGATGAAATGAAGTTTAATCTACTTATTATAAAAGTCTCAATGATTCAAATGAAGTTACCAGACTTTTTTAAACCTTCAGATTGTTATGGTTTCTAGGGAACATTTTAAATACACCAAACAGATTGAATAAGGTCTGACAACTGAATCTCATTAGAAACATACAAAGTCTTGAGGCAAAAGACTTTCTCCAGAGGCCATCATTAGGACACTGTGTTATTTTAGGGGTTTTTTTTTAAATCCTTGCATCTGAATATTGCGGGCTGAAAATAAAATGTGTTTAGGAAACCCAACACATTGAACTGAAATACGAATTTTTTTTCTCCAACTGCAATACACCTCAGGAAACAAAATAGTAATACAAAAAGAAACATCTGACAAATTATGATACAGCAAAAGGAAAGATACAGAAATGAGAAAAACTCCATTTCCAAAAGAGTCTCCCCTTATCATTTATATGGATTTTGCTATGAGTCATGCAAATATAGGCCACTGAGTGATGATGACTGGAAGTCACTGTTTCAGTAACATATATTTAAGTCTTTTACTGTCCCCTAAATTCTCAGTCTTGTTACCTCTTTGCATAAAATAAATGCAAACACATATAACAAACTGTGGTTTCAGGCATCGACTTCTGTCATTTCCTGCATGTTTCTACTCAAGCCTGTGACAAACCCTGTGCCATGTCACCACAGGGTAAAAGGAAGTCTAAGTGCACCGAGGGATGGGAGTTTGGGGTAAGAGAGACTTCTCATAGAGCACAAAGAAGGTCTCCTAGGCAGCCAAAGAAGTTAAAGTTTCTCCTGAGCAGAGGGACCAGTCAGTGTCTGTAGAAAGTGGCAGGATCTGAAAAGGAATGAGAGGCTCAGGGCCCCAGCAGCAGAAATGCACACTTAAAGGGAAACGAAGACTGGAATAGTGGGTTTCTTTTCAGAAACAGATACCTGATTATTGGAGGGTCTCCCAGTCCCTGAGAGGAAGGCTGAGAAATGGGGCAACCAAGAGGTAGGGACATGCCAAGACTGGTCCGATTTCCCACTAATAGGTGGGTGACAGCACAGAGTCAGCAATGACTGAACAAACAAGATGGCCGAGTCCCCACTATACCTTCAAGATGTGTTCATTGGATGCCTTGTCATCGGGGGACACATACAAACGGATGAACACAGAATTGCTGTATTGACCACGAAACGTTGCAAGTGTGTGCAGAAGGCTGAACTTTCTCTCTGACCAAACCCCTTCCGGACCAATATTAGACTCGAGCACAGGCCAGCGAAAAGGTGAATGCCGCAGGATGTGTAGTAATGGCTTGGCATCTGCTTTTTCAATCGCTTCTGAAAGGGAGCAAATATGAAGGGAGAGTTAGAATTGCAAACTGGATCACCAAACTAGAATGTGAGGGTATCTTCTCAAGAGAAAATTCCTGTAAGGCCCCAGCTTAACATTTCAGCTGGTACAGAGAGGTGCAGTAGACTGAGCATAAACAGGCACAGAGCCACATATGAGTCACACTGCAACGTAACTATCTAAAGCTGGTGTTCTCACCAGGAGAGCAAACTAGGGAACCTGCTGGATGTTCCCTACAATAAAAGATGGGCTCACTACACTCACCCCGGGCAATGAGCAATGTTCAGCTGGTAATACTCTGCAAGACTAAAGAACAACCCTAGCTAAAGGAAACTGTTCAATAAAACCAATCACTCCCCAGTAAAAGTGAATTAATGCCTTGGATTCTTTCATCATCTTTTACTGCCCTCTTCTAGCTAACAAAATAATGCCCCAAGGCCTAAACAAGTCAACACAGAGGCACTGGCTTCTTCCTGCAATGGTCTTGAGAAAGTGGACCAGGTAAAAGGACAAGTGTCTCTTTTAACTCTAATCAGACCCAAGATACTGAGACATACCTGACACCCAACAAAAATGACTATTAGGCTGTTGGAGAAGCAGAAGGAGACTGGCCTTCCTGGGAATCTGGAATTCTCTAGACCCCAGTAGGTCATTTGGGGACATAGTAACACTCCACAGGCTCTCCCTCCCAGGCTCCTTCTCAGACCACACCTGGCCTCTGGATTCTGATTTCTGCACCACAAAAGTGGGGTTTGTCCTTCTGACCCTACCCAAGTTTCTCATGGAGTAACTGATACCCAAAAGAAGCCATGCCATAGACACAGAACTATTTTCTCCACCAAGCAAGCAAGAGAACATTAAGAAAGGGCTAGTCAAAAATTCAGTTTTTGAGAGTCATTCCTTTTCCTTAAACAAAAACCTTTAAACATTAACAGAATTCTTAGTTCTCATTTTCCTTCAATGATATCTTCAAACATTACAAGAACTCCCAAGAATAAGGGTGGTGAATATGTTATTTATTTGTCTTTATTACTCACTCTCATTCATGCAAGATGAATAAAGGACTTTGGCTTTCTGGATGGCTTCGATGTCCCGCCTTCTACTGATCGATTTCTCCAAAAGTGCTAGGAAGGTTAAGAAAGGATTCGTTAGCATCCATCCGCATGTAGAGCTGAGTTGGAGGGCACTGATAATCACGGCCTCGGCCTCCAGCCTCCAGCAAATTAAAGGTAAAGACAGGCAACCCTAGAAAAGACACATCTATAAAAGATATGCAGACAGCTGAACCGATGCCAAGTTGCTTGAAGCTCAAATAACTGCAATTTACCATTCTTTTCTCAAACGTTCTCCTAACTCAAAGAAACCAAAAGTTCAATTTCCAACTGAAACTGGACCTTCTGCAGGGGTTAATGTTTCCTGCCACCTACACAAAAGGAAACAGAATTCATTTATTCAAGAACCAAAAATAACTGAATTCTGTTCCTTGTTTTCTGCACTGAGTAATAGTCTCAACGGAGGCAATTTCATCAGGGTCGGGTTTCTTAAGATTTCTTCACAGCCGAGCCTCTCAGGAAGGTCACCTGGAAGAAATTTCCCATTAGAAGTTTCATTCAATGTTGTATAAACATGCTGTGGACATGGAAGAAGTTGTTTAGACAGGAAATGTAGAGGCGAGACTGGGAAGCCTATCCAAATTGCCTGAAAACTTGCCACTTACACATTTGAAGTCCTGACCATTTAAATGAGGCCATGTGTATAAAACGATCGCCAGCATAGACCTAAGCCTGCCTGGGAAATGATTTCTATTTATAAAAGTCACTGATGCTATTGTTTGAAGGTGGAAAATGCCAGCTATCACCACTTCATTAAATAAGGAAAGAGGAAAGCCAAACTTCAATTAAAACCACCCTCCCCACAAAAGACCACCTCGGTTACATTGGAGGGGACCGAATTACCAGCAGGAGGCCAAGACAAAGTATCCCTGTGCGGCACCGTGGCGCTGCCTCCGTTGAGCTATATCTCTTGTTGTCGAGGCATTTGGGGTTATTTCTGAAACAACCCAGCAGCCTCCAAACGACGGTACAACAGATGCTCCTTCAGCACTCTGAATGGCTTCAAAACACAATGTACAGTGCTAATCAGATTAGGAAATAATGACATAGTTCTGAAGAGGAACTGACTTCTAAACTGGAAGTTCTGTATTTCAAAAAAAAAAAAAGCCACCCAGAGTTCCTGTCCAACTTTCTAAAGTACCCATACCCATATGTCCAACAAGTCTATGTAACTAGATTCAAGTAAAATAAATTGAGTTGGATGCGGACATTTTCTACTCTTTAAAATTGTGTGTAGTGTTTATTTCTTGTATATTACACAGAAATAAAAGGAGGACAACTAGCTTCAAGGATAAAGAACGGAGTTTTGTTTTGTTTTGTTTTGTTTTGTTTTGTTTTGTTTTGTTTTAAAAAACAGAAAGCTCTATAACCATATTCACATATATTGGATGTGAGGGTGATCTGGCTGCGACATCTGTCACCCCATTGATCACCAGGGTGGATTCGGCTGATCTGGCTGGATAGGCGGGTGTCCCCTTCCTCCCTCACTGATCCATGTGCGTCCCTCCCGAAGCTGTGCACCTGGTCGAAGAGGATGACCTTCCCAACTAGAGGAGAGGACTGGTCTTCGGTCAAGGGCATACAAGTAGCTGCACTCCCCTGCTGGAACCTCCAAACAAGCTCTCAAGGTCCACATATATTTCTACTCAAATCAGATCATGTGTCTTTCCACCATGTTGCTTCCGCAGTCACTGATTGGATTGTCGGGGAGACACATTTGGAAGTAAACAATCCAAATTTCATTTAGAGATATGATATTATTACAATGCTATAAACATTCCACAGGCTGCAAACATGAAGGCCCCGAGGACCTAAGACAAGCCACAGCAGCAAAACAACTCAAAGTATGAAATATCTACCTGCCTGTACACTGAGGTACTCTGTATCACAAGGAGAAAAAAAGAGAACTGGTATATGCTAAGTAGAATAATCCTAAAATGCTAACCATGCTAAATAGCAACAATTTATATATGTCAAAATTCTAGCTTCTGCACCAGAATTTGGCTTGAAAAAAATTCAGCTACTGCAGGTTACTTGTCTTACCCTTTCCCTTGTCCGCTTTTTCTCTTCATACCCAAGCAGGCAGGAGAGCATTGCTATGCAGACAGTGATGTGTCAGTCAGTTGGCCGCATCCATTCTATGTACCTCTGTATTTGAATTAGTGGAAAGAGAAACAAAATCTAGTGTAGGGAGTCATTAATGAACAGAAAACAAAGCCTGCCTATCAAAGGCAATTACTCTGGTCATTAAAATGTCCCTAAAGCACAGAGGCGGGCTCACAGGTCACCCATACAAGGGCATTCCTGTTATAATCAGTGTTGTTTCACGGAAGATTTCTCATTTCTCTCCCCACCCCGCATCCAGGTATTCCGAACCATGTTACAAGAGAAAAGGAAAACTCCAGTTTATAAAAACCTGTAGTGCACTAATCTCGGACTTTAAAATTGACTTCAAAGTGCTTCTTGCTATCAAGTCTGAACTTTACATATATTATGTAAGTATTTTTTCCTCATTATGCCCAATCAAAAACAACTTTTTAAAGACAATGTATCCCCATGTCAAGGGGATGAGCTTTCAAAATGCACAGACATGGATTTCGGTTGCAGCTTGCTGATGATAATTTCCAGCTGAAACCTGAGCAAGTTATTCCATCTAATCCTCAGTTTCTCCATCTGTAAATCTGGATAATAACAGTGCCTGCCTCCCAGAGTGGTGGTGAGGATCAAACATTTTAATGCACAGAAAGTCCCCATTTCAGTGCCTGGACACATGATAAGTGATCCATCGATGGTGGCTTAAACAGGATTACATGCTGAGTCAGCCCTAGCCAAAATTGTAACTTAAGCTTATTTCTACTGCTTCCTCCATAAATGGTTTTTCCTCTGCCTTTCTTAGAATATTGCAGCCAAAGGCCTTGTGCTGACCCAACACACTGACACTCTGTATGTAGGACAACTCCACAAACTGGACCGGCCCTAGCCACCTTACAAAGTCCCATGCTTTCAACACTTCCTCTGCTTTCACAATAGAGGCAATGCTCCATGAAGAGATATTTTGCAGTCAGGGTTAACCTCTGAGAATATTTTGTTCCTCCTGGAAAGGAGGCATTTTCCTTTTCTATGTAAACTTTTTCAATGAGATTTCAGAAAAGCGCATTGATCATAATCTGCAGGACTTTCGCGTAGTAAACACACCCACATAATCAACATTATGACCAGAATCCCAGAAGCCCCTCGGGCTCCCTTCTAATCACTAACTGCAATGAAGACAACCAACGTCTGCTTTTGTGAAGTGCTTACTCAAGTCTATTTCCCACATTTCTATTGGGTAATATTCCTTTGATTGATTCGTAGAAGTTGTTTATATACAAGGTCTGTCCAGAAAGTATCCAGCCATGCTCTATGAGAAATAGAAACATTTATTGAAGAAGATATAAGAAACATTCTACATAGGACAGTGATGCCTCAGTCCTATGATGCCTTCAAAAGTAGGCACCTTGGGACCTCACACAGTTCTCCCAGTCATCATCAGCTGCCCTGTCATCTCATCAATGGTCTGAAATCTCTTCCCTTTCAAATGTGATTTTAATTTTGGGAAAAGCCAAAACTCACAGGGTGCCAAACCTGGGCTGCAGGAGGACTGCATCACCTGGTTGATTGGATGTTTCACCAAAAAAACTCTGCATGAGACATGATGGATGAGTGGGCACATTGTTCTGATGAAGCTGCCAATCACCAGTTGCCCATAGCTGCGGCCTTCTGAATCATCTGAATAGTTTCCACTGGGGACTGTTCAAACTTAACACAAAGTTTGATGCAGATTCACTGCTCTGCTCACTCAGTCATTCTGAATGCAATGGTCACACAGCACGCATGCTCACTCAATGGCATCTACCACCCCCTGCTGACTAGTACAGTGAAGCTGTCATTGTTCACACATGCGCATCCCAGTCCACTCTCCTTGGCTGCCAGGTTACACTGATGTTGTGCAAACCATTCTCATTGTATTAACAATGGCTGGACTTTTTCCAGACAGACCCCATATTCTACATCCAAGGACTTTGTTGAATATTTGTATTGCAAAATCTTATCCTGTTCCACAGACTTCATTTTCTTACTGTATCATGTGATGAACCAAAAGTCTTTATTTTAGCGTAACCCAATTTGCCCATTTATTTTCCTTCTACGATTAGCATATTTTGTGTCCTATTTAAGAAATCTTTGCCTGCCCTAAGGTCATGAAGAAATTCTCTCACATTTCCCCCTAGAATCCTTATATTTTCAGCCCATGTAAAATTTGCTTTTTTCCTACAGTGTGCACAGCCACACCTTTGTAACATAAGCCTTGCCTCGTGGGTGAATCATGTGAGAATTTTAATAAAGAAGGCACTTTCAGTCACTGGGCCTCAAATATTGTCACCAAAAATACTTTTGGTGCATAAAATTGGTATTAAGAATGGCTGTTTTCTATTAGATTGAGTAGTCTTTGGGGCAGCAACTGGGTCACGTTCATCTTTGAACACCCAGGGCCTAATGCTTGGCATGGTTGATGCTCGATATACACTTGCTGAGTTAAATTTTTTACAAGACACTTTTGAATCAGACTGAAAAGGAACTGTGAGAAGTCAGGGTGACTCCTTTTATTATTTCTTTTTATAATCAGCAATGTTCTGATTGTGCTAACATCCATAATCTCCTTTTCTCATATTTTAGTCCCTGTATCATACAATGAAACCCAAAACACCGTGTGTTTTCATGAACAACAGTTTTTAAGATCCCTAAGTTTCATTTTACAGATGGTCTCAGCTAATCATCCCCTTCTACTTCACTCCTAGGCTGGGAGCAGGGGATTCTTAGTATGTGACTTCCTTAAGTGCGGAAGCCGGACAGGACTATCAATTCTACTCACTCAATTCACTTCTCCTGCTCAGACAAGCCCTTTATTTACAGCTCTGGAATAGGAAAAGAGAATTCTCAAGGAAGAAGAATGAGACTCCTGAGGACTTGGCACT